ATTCGCATCCTCACGTAGCTTCTCCACGTTCATACCAGAAAAGTTACGAAGAAGAAGTGTCCTGGCTTTAATTTTCGGTGGTCTTATCCGGTATGACAGGTATAGCAGATCGTGGTACGAAAACTCGTCTGCTGAAAACTGACCGCTTTTTACGACATGGTCAGGGGAAGAAACTATAATGAGGTCGAGAAGAGAAGGGATACAATTCGGAAAGTGGTGGGTTGCGTTTAAAGGAAGAATATGTAGAGAACAAGAGTCAATAATAGAATTAAGTTTTTTAGAGCTGTTGTCATTTTTTAAAAGGCATGTGTTAAGATCACCCAGAATAATTGTATGATTATAAGAAGGACATAAATCTTCAAGAAGGTGTTCGAGGGAATCATAATAGTCGTAGCTGGACGATGGATTATAGTAAACTCCAAGAAGGACTTTCAAGTGGGATATAGTAATCTCCAAGAATAAATGTTCAGCCGTACCATCCGGGGGTGGCTGAGGTGATTTGCTAACTATAGTGAACGGGATGTTCGGTCGAATATAAATAGCTACGCCTCCGCCGAGGGTAGTACGGTCATTGCGGACTAATACGAAACCAGGGATCGAAAAAGAAGTTGAAAGAAGAGAGGGGTTTAACCATGTTTCGGAGACCAGTATCGCGTGTATATTCTTGTTGTCAAGTGAGGCAAGCATGTCATGATAATGAGCTGGTATGCTCTGCGCATTAATGTGTACCACATTAAAGTTTTTCTTTACGTCAGAAAAGGTCGCGTCTAGAGCATCAGCTAATGGAATAGGAAGAGAGTGAAAACTGTCATTGGATTCAGAACTAGATGAACATGATTGAAAGATATCTGAATGATTGCATAATGATATATCCATAAATAAATACGAAAATAATAATAAAATTAAATAATAATATAAAATTCAACTCCTACTACAATAATATTAATTAATCCTTTACCCGCCGGTAGCTGTGTCAAATCAGTATCAACCTTAGGATCAACACAAATACACAGGAAAACACAACATAATATTTACAAAACAATTATGAGCAGAGTTCAACATAGAAATATGTGTGAAATGGAACGTAGATAAATAGTAAGAAAAGGAAAATAAGAGGAAAATGACTATCGAGCGGGGCGCCCCATTGTATAGACACTTCCGTAAGAAAAACAAAAATGCACAAACACAGTTACGGTCACACAACCAAAAACAGAAAGAGACAAAAACTACGAGCAGAAACGCAACGGATTGCTATACAAACTAGTAAGCGCAGGAAAAAAGTGTGATAAGCGCATTTGTGACACTGCAGGCAGACGTCAAAAAACAAAATACAGGCAAACATTGGGTAAAAATAATTTATAATTTACTTTACTACCTTCAAACTAATATAAAAACAAGACGGAAAATGGAAATTGTTGAAGAGAAAAATTAAGAAAAAATTTGGAAAATATAAGTTACCGCATGTCAAAGATACAGAAAACAAGAAAATATTGTAAGTATTTCTACCTGAATATGTGCTGTGTGTAACTAAGACTGCGACATATCAAAGAAATCGATATCAGCCTGGACTTTGAATAAGCTTGAGGTTATTTCTTTCCAGTTCGCACGCGCTTTGAGGCATCAACTGGCGTCTTGGCTGCATCTTCCATTTCAGCGACTTGGGAATCACCAGCAATCTTCGTCAAGTCCTGTGCAGATGAAATGGTGTGGCGTTTCCCGTCTGGCGCTAGATATATGATGCGCCCTTCACGAGTCCAGCACTTGGATACACCAAGAGTTTGCCGAGCCAACTTGAAAAGTTTGTGGCGTCTGGGTGTCAGGAACTCCGAGACTGTGATGCCGGTGCCCTTTAAACCAACCTTTTTCATCCATGCTTCATTGCGGGTTACTGTGCTTGAGAATTTGACAAGCACTGGACGTGGCTTGCCTGACACACTAGAGAGATGACCAATCCGATGAGCACGATGAATTTCTTCTGGCTTCAAGTTGGGAAGTGACAGATGTTTTTGGGCAGCGGCCAATATAACTGCAGCAGTGTCCTCGTTCCTTGCTTCTGCCACACCATGAAATAACAACATCTTTCTCCTGTTTCGCATTTCCATGACATCAACCTCCGTAGCCAACATGTCAATCTGCTTCTGAAGGGATGTAAATGAAGTCAAAACAAAAGCACGGAAGGACTGGAACTCAGTAGCAAGTGATTTAACAGTGTCTGCTTTACTTGATGGTTCTTTCTTCAACTGCTCCTCAAATGCTGCCATCCGAGCATGTACGGAAGCTGCCAGAGAGTCGAGGGTTACCTGTATTTGATCCATGTTCAGAAATTCCAGTGCTTGTGATGTGTCAAAAAAGTGCTGTGTTGTGATGGTTTGCGGTTATGTTGATAAATATCGGAGATAACAGCTATTGCAGGTATTTCGGGGCTATTCTATCATAATATCATATTTATTTTTATTAGTGATAAGTAATTAATTTTATTTCAATTAAATTAAATTAGACCTGTCAAAAAGTCAACTTGGTCTTTTAAGCGCCTACCCGCGAAAAAAAAAAAGGTAGTAATTTGTCACCGCAATGTTTCTGAATACACTTTTTCTTTTTCGTTTTCGTTTTCTTTTCTTTTCTTTTCTTTTCTTTTCTTTTCTTTTCTTTTCTTTTCTTTTCTTTTCTTTTCTTTTCTTTTCTTTTCTTTTCTTTTCATTTTCTTTTCTTTGTCTTTTCTTTTTCTTTTCTTTTTCTTTTCTTTTTCTTTTCTTTGTCTTTTCATTTTGAGAAATTAAGTTACACACCCACACCTCATACAGAGCACAGCGACACATAGTGGCGACGACACGACGTCAGTGCCGAAACACCGACCAATTTGCATACCGTTCCCATGCTCCCGAGTAGAGATGCAACGAATACTAATTTTACCGAATAGGTGCTGGATATTCGACATCGTGGCAACAGGTGAACTTTTATCCCTAATTTTTTGGTAAGTGTTCGGCCTGGAGCAAGACTGAATATTTTGGGACCAAATATTAGTGAGATTGAATAAAAAATGCAGAAAAGGTAGTAATTTGTCACCGCAATGTTTCTGAATACACTTTTTCTTTTTCGTTTTCGTTTTCTTTTTCTTTTTCTTTTTCTTTTTCTTTTTCTTTTTCTTTTTCTTTTTCTTTTTCTTTTTCTTTTTCTTTTTCTTTTTCTTTTTCTTTTTCTTTTTCTTTTTCTTTTTCTTTTTCTTTTTCATTTTTGAGAAATTAAGTTACACACCCACACCTCATACAGAGCACAGCGACACATAGTGGCGACGACACGACGTCAGTGCCGAAACACCGACCAATTTGCATACCGTTCCCATGCTCCCGAGTAGAGATGCAACGAATACTAATTTTACCGAATAGGTGCTGGATATTCGACATCGTGGCAACAGGTGAACTTTTAGCCCTAATTTTTTGGTAGGTGTTCGGCCTGGAACAAGACTGAATATTTTGGGACCAAATATTGGTGAGATTGAATAAAAAATGCAGAAAAGTTAGTAATTTGTCACCGCAATGTTTCTGACTGAATACACTTTTTTCTTTTTCCTTTTCTTTTTGTTTTTCTTTTTTTTCTTTTTCTTTTTCTTTTTCTTTTCCTTTTTTCTTTTTTTTCTTTTTTGAGAAATTCTGTTACACACCCACACCTCATACAAAGTACAGCGACACATAGTGGCGACGACACGACGTCAGTGCCGAAACACCGACCAATTTGCATACCGTTCCCATGCTCCCGAGTAGAGATGCGACGAATACTAATTTTACCGAATAGGTGCTGGATATTCGACATCGTGGCAACAGGTGAACTTTTATCCCTAATTTTTTGGTAAGTGTTCGGCCTGGAGCAAGACTGAATATTTTGGGACCAAATATTAGTGAGATTGAATAAAAAATGCAGAAAAGGTAGTAATTTGTCACCGCAATGTTTCTGAATACACTTTTTCTTTTTCGTTTTCGTTTTCTATTTCTTTTTCTTTTTCTTTTTTTTCCTTTTTTGTCCTTTTTTTCTTTTCCTTTTTCTTTTTCTTTTTTTTTCCTTTTTTGTCCTTTTTTTCTTTTCCTTTTTCTTTTTCTTTTTTTTTCTTTTTTGTCCTTTTATTCTTTTCCTTTTTCTTTTTTGAGAAATTAAGTTACACACCCACACCTCATACAGAGCACAGCGATACATAGTGGCGACGACACGACGTCAGTGCCGAAACACCGACCAATTTGCATACCGTTCCCATGCTCCCGAGTAGAGATGCAACGCATACTAATTTTACCGAATTGGTGCTGGATTTTCGGCATCGTGGCAACACGTGAACTTTCGGCCCTCATTTTTTGGTAGGTGTTCGGCCAGGAACAAGACTGAATAATTTGGAACCAAATTTTGGTGAGATTGAATAAAAAAATGCAGAAAAGGTAGTAATTTGTCACCGCAATGTTTCTGAATATACATTTTTATTTTTATTTTTATTTTTCTTTTTATTTTTATTTTTCTTTTCTTTTCTTTTCTTTTCTTCTTCTTTTCTTTTCTTTTCTTTTCTTTTCTTTTCTTTTCTTTTTCTTTTTCTTTTTCTTTTTCTTTTTCTTTTTCCTTTTTCTTTATCATTTTCTTTTCCTTTTTCTTTTTCTTTTTCTTTTTCTTCTTCTTTCTCTTTTTCTTTTTCTTTTTTGAGAAATTCTGTTACACACCCACACTTCATACAGAGCACAGCGACACATAGTGGCGACGACACGACGTCAGTGCCGAAACACCGACCAATTTGCATGCCGTTCCCATGCTCCCGAGTAGAGATGCAACGAATACTAATTTTACCGAATAGGTGCTGGATATTCGGCATCGTGGCAACAGGTGAACTTTCGGCCCCCCTTTGTTGGGAAGGTATTCGGCCCGGAACAAAACTGAATATTCAGTAACCAAATATTGGTGCGGCTGAACCAAAAAATGCAGGGTAACTAACTAGTAATTAATTACCGCAATGTTTCTAAATACACTTTTTTTCGCCCGTAGCTCAGTTGGTAGAGTGGTGGAACGGCAATCCACAGTCCCGGGTTCAAGTCGCGGCGGTCGCTAGTGAATTTTTCAATTTTCTCATTTTTAATTTACACTTTTTTTCTTCTTTTTCTTGATTTGTAGTGTGGTGGACCTGGAGTGTGCTAGACGAACTAAAATGTAGATAGAACGTTGCCGTGTGCTGCCGGCTTAGAATAGCATCACCCCATATCTACCATTGGGTGTCGTAAGAACCGACTAAGGGATGAATCCAGGGAATGGGCAGCAGCGTTCTCTGTAAATACAACATCTTGTACTCCGCTCGCCAATCCGCGTGCCAAGCGTGGTGAGTATGGCAAGTAACTCCCTTATAGGGGGAGGCCCATGTGCAGCAGCGGACTGTTTTGGCTATTTTAGTTATAGTAGGTATTTTTAATGGAGCTATTTTCTTTTCACTCACACAAAATGAGATGGTATTTCGTATTCGGCCACATAGTTTCAAGCAATGCCGAATAGTTTCCGAACATTTGTCGCATCTCTACTCCCTTGCGAGCTGTCAATCGTCCGAGCTCTGGCGTACTTTTAGCTCGGTTTTATACATAAAGTGCCCCCCGTTCCAGCCTTTCTCCCATACGTTTACAATCGCCGAAAGCGTTTTGTTCTCGAATAAAAGTTCGGTTCCTGGAAAAGGTGACTTTGATAAAACGAGCGATTGACTTATATTTGCATACCTATTTACGTACGTAACGAATTCTGAAATTTATTTTGCTTATTGATTTCTTTGGATTTTACGACTAAAACAGTGGCAATAATTACGTTGAAAGTCTTTTTGCATTTCTCTGTCTGTCACAGCACCGTTAACTCCTTCTAAGCTGCGTAGGGATTTTGAAGCAGTTTATTTTAAAGTAACTTTGTTAAAGGCTATCTTAGTTGATTTTATTTTCTTTTACTTAATCCCAAAATCAAAGTACAACGTAGTTTCCGCTATAACTTACCAAAGTGTTACTACAATTTAATTGGGATAACAAAAACCGTAGGCATATCGTGGATGTGAATTATGTTATGAAAATGTTAGACAGACCTAGCTTTGATATGCATTCAACGCGTAATAAAAAATTGTTCATTATAATTTGTTACATAACCATAATTCAATTAAGATTGTTATTTCATACAGTCAATATGGGCTACCCCCTTAAAGTAGATTCCGCCTTACCATTTAAGTGACGGAACAAAAACCATCCACAAATCCGGTGGTCAGCACGAAAGGCATATTGTGGATGTGGATTATGAAGGTGCCAAGACCTAGTTTTGATGTGCAACGCGTGATTGTAGGATTGCGTGCGTCGACTTGATAACCGAGTTAAAAGCGCAACCCCGTGGATTTATTCATGCTAGTAGCTTGAGGATATTCTTTGTTTATTTCTTCTGCTTTAAGTTTTTTAGAAAGATTTTGGCTGATTTTGATATCTGACATGATGATCAATTAAATCAAGTTGTGTGTTGCGTTGACCTGACTGTTTTTCATCGTTCTTGGTTTTGGTTATGTTTTGAGCTGAGGGCATTATATTTCTTAAAGGAAACAAAACAGTTGAAGATATGAGTAGACGACCAAATATGACCAATAGCTGCTGACGCTGACTAATTTGCTACTTTATAATTTGCTGAGACGAATCCGGTAAGTGTACATTATACTTGCTAAATAAGTCAAATGAATCGTCAGAAAATAAAAGGAATATCTTATACATCCTTTTGGCAAACTTGAGTAGGTAAGAATTTTAATTCTTGACCATTGCTGGCGGCTGCACGGAAACAAGCAGTGTCATTAACATCTGAATGGACTTAGCTACCATAAGGACGAATGGAAGTCCCTATATCTAGATGCTTTATACCATAAGGACGAATGGAAATCCCTATCTAGATATTGTTTTAAAACTACCTAAAGTCTAAAATTTTAAGAAATGTGGTTCTCAGAAACATATTGTAGGTTTTAATTTAAGATGTGAGTAAGCATTTGAAGAGGATTTTTTTGTTTGTATCAATCAATGATATTATATTAAATTTGTATCAATTATTGTCAATTTTGTTAGACATAAAAGACACAAATTAGGGAAACAGCGCGCGGGGCGCTTTTGGAGATGGCTCACTTAGAATTTGATGATTGGAATCTCAGAGAGACTAAGAAGATGGTTGCCATGAACATCATATTTCTTTGATTACATTTGGCTCAGAATTAGGTATATTACTCTCTAGTATCAGATCGTTGCCACGAAAGTCATATTTCTTGCATTGTGAGCGGCTCAGAGTCATACTAATTTCTTGTATCAGATTGCATTTGGACATTATTTCCTTCTTGTATTGAACTAGAAAACTCATAACACGTTTATCTAAAAACCATGCATGCTAAGACTATCAACATGTTGGTATTGATAAGATCTACATTTCAGATGTCAGCTGTCATACTTCTTGACATTTAATTTACCACTTTGGATGAATTGATCACAGTAAGCATACCGTGCTATACGTCGCACGTGATTTTTGGCAGTAGCAACCCTGGCTAGGTATGTAACAAGTGACAATCGAGAAAACCCTAATTAGGGCCGAGTGAACTTCTTTAAACACTTAATTTTATGCTTCTGCAGCAAGCAAATTTCTAATATACAGATAGGTTACTACCAATAATGAATACTCATAACATTTTGTTATTTATTAAGCCGTATGATGGTGTACATTGACCTGTAGATCCACTTTCCGAGCGAGGTATTTCGGTATCTATATGGATGATCATTAATTTTATGTTGATGAAAATAATAACTTAAGCTTGCTACTGTGTAAGTGTATGCTTCTTTCAATGTAGGCAGAACCTCGTAAATTCTTAATTTTATAATCCATAAGGCGCTTTATACACGTAACGTCTACTTGTGCGTTATTTTTGTTATTTATCTTTGGGGTTGGAAAAAAACGATTTTCCACCTTATTTTCATACAAATACGGTTTACGTGATACGGTTTGACGCACGCATCCGATAGCGAAAAAATATCGCACATCGCTGCGTCGACGGCAGAGATGGGCAAAAATTATTCGCCGAATAAATTGCCAGGCTAATAAATTTTTGATGAGTAGGTAAGTTAATTGAACAAGGAATAAAATGCAAGTTTTTTATATTCTTTATTACAAGATACTTGTGTACTCTCAATTTCATCCAAAAGTATTTTTTATGGGTCATTGCCATTTGTCTATATTTTACTCGTGAAAAATTTATTCGCCAGGTAATTTATTCGGCATTCATTCATTTGTCAAATAATTTGACATAGGTAAACCATATTTGTATGACAGATACAGATACAGATACAGATCATTTATTAATAACAACATAGTTACAGGTCACATAATATAAACAATACACAATATGATTTTTTACCATTGTAAATACAAAATAATCAATTACATAAATTTCAATTAATATTTCATTAACAGTTATTTACTTTCCATTACATACTATTTTATTATATTCGTAATATTCCTTTAAACAGTAAAATTGCGACTGGTGAAGCCACTTTTTAAGTTTGGCCTTGAATACTCCCGGGGTAGCTGCATCTTTCACGTCTTGTGGTAGCTTATTGTACAGACGAGGACCCGAGATATAAACGGATTGTTCCGACTTATGGAGCTTGTGAAATGGTGTCGCAAGATGGTCTGCGTGGGCGTGGCGACAATAAGGTCGAAATTTGTATTGTCCCAACACATGCGTTTCGCAGCGCAAAAATAACGTCGAAACGGACAAACGGACGTTATGTGTGTAAACTAGTGTAAAGCGCCGAAGGCTAATGAATAAAATGAAAACGTTACTTTATGAAAGTTGCATATTTATGCCGTAATTTTACGTACCATAAAGTAACACTTCATAAACATAGGAAAATATAGTTACACAGGGTGTAATCATCAAAGGAAATGAATTAACTACAAAATATTTTTTGACTGATGAGATGACTGCCACTGAACGTATAGAAGTACCTAGGGATAAATGTTGGCTTCTTTAAAGTAATAGGGTGTTTTCTTAGGTAGCTAATAAAATAAAACATGTTTGTTTTATATTATTACCCAAAAATATTACTATTCTCTTTTAATGTACTCAAAATATACACAGGGAGTATTTAATGCATTTAAAGACTAAAAAATTATGACGCCATCATTATACTATTTTTATGTCGTCTAGTATATTCAAACAAAATTTCTTTCATTTGACTACTAGGAAAATACCGTGTACTAGAAAAATTACTGCTTTCATACTTATTTGGAATTGTAGTTTCCGTATAGAATTTTCAACTTATCTTTAAGTTATCTGTGCGCATCGTCCAAAGGATGTTTATTCATTCATTTACTTCAGGATAAACTCCTCGATTCACACCTTGTATAGGCCAATTTCCATTTTGAATCAAAACCAGGTCCTAAGGTGTTGGGACTAATCACCCAGCTAGTTTGATATTCCAGTAGATTGTCCAGCCAGCAAACATGTAATGCATAAACTAAGTCAGAGTGGTTCCATTACTTACGGTTAACGATCTAGGCAAACAGTGCTACCTGGAATACATACTAGCCTAGACCTAGCTGCTGTGAGGCTAAAGGAATGGTGGTATATTTTACCGGTGATATATTCTTTGAATTAATTTCAGCTAGGCAGGTTGGCATGCGTTCAGTCTTCTAACATGCCTTGACCATTCTGAGACCCCTATTTCTCACGTAAATTGTATTGTTTAATGCTTAAGAACAGCAGTCCTGGATGATGTATAAATAAAAAATGTAAATTTTTCTCTTCAGCAAATATTTTAATAGCGAATATTAAAAACATCTGAAAAAAACATGCAATGTTGCTAGAAAAAATATATTGCTTATTAAATGAACGCATCCTACATTTTAGCAAATTGGTCTTATAGAATTTAATAGTTGAGGTACTTACTTTCAAGAACTTCGACGTTTGGTCCAAGAAATAGGAGAATTTCTCAAAAATACGCAAAACCGAACTATCACGCTATGGATGATTGATTTTGGTGTCTTGATATTTTTTTTTATACTTTAGGTTTGG